GTACGAACCTCGCCTCGCTAGACCCCTCGAAGGGGGATTCTGCCTCGCTCGACGGGGGTCCGTACCGCCCCAACCACTATGGGTCTAAGAGTACGAATCCAGGGTCAAACTTCTGATATTAGAAAAGGAGTGGGCCCATCTTGACGTGACCCGCGACCACGATGGGCCATACCTGAGGACTCACGTCGCCAATAGTGTCGGGCGTGCTGGCGCTGTGCTACCTAATCTCCGCACGACTTCCATCAGAGATACCTGTTGACCATGCTGCCCGTCGGGACGGAATGGGGCGACAAGATCGGCTGACGACGCCCGCGTGTGGCGCCAGTGGCAAACAGGGTCACGACGTGGAGCCATCCCCATCATCATCCATAGGACCAGTGGGACCCGTGTGAAGGAGATGAAGGGCACCGTGACTCTGGAGGCCTTCTTCTCCCTCACTTTTCTGCTCTTTCTCTTTCTCACATGTAACCTGCATCTTCCCCTTCATCTATAAATGGGGAAGCAGGACGCCTCACGAAGGCGAGGGAAAAAATGGCTCAACGGCTCACCGAGTTCGATTAGATTCAACTCCATTCGATCCTTCCATCAGAGACATGGGACCTTCTCCCTCTCTCGTCCGTTTGTAATCCCTACTATAAACAAGTGCCGGTAACACGAGCAGCCTAAAACTAGATGCAGGGACATTCTGCCCGAACCAGTATAAACCCTTGTGTTCTTCGAGCACACCATCCGAACCAGACGCGCAAATATAAATTTACTAATCGGTGGTTCGAAACACCGACAAGGCTGCAATGATCCGCAGCGGTCCGGCATGGACTCTCTGTTCGCCCTCGTCTCTTAGCATGTGTGGAAAGAGCACAATGCAAGATGCTTTCGCGGGTCTTTGGCCTCCGCAACTGAGCTTATGCAACTCATCAAGGATGAAGGGGACCGATGGATTCAGGGCGGAGCAAAAGGCCTTGGAAGCCTCGTTGGGCGTTAGCCATGGCAGGTCCTTTCCCGGAGTCATGTGTTGTTATGTAGCAATGTAGCCCCTGTGTTCAGCATGGCCTTCCGTCGCTTACTCTTGTAATATAAACTTCCTTTCTTCTAATACAATGATACGCACACTCGGTGCGTATTCGAGAAAAAAATTTCTCTAAAAATGGAACAGAAAAGGCTTACAATACTGTTTGTGCATCAGAGAGTAACTCTTCCATCGGTTTAGTTCATCCTCCTAAAGTTTACTCCCTATCCCATCGAATGTTTGGACACATGCATGGAGTATTAAATATAGACTAAAAAATAACTAATTGCACAATTTGTGACTAATTTGCAAGACGAATCTTTTAAACCTAATTAGCCCATGATTTGATAATGTAGTGCTACAGTAACATATGTGCTAATGACGGATTAATTAGGCTTAATAAATTCGCCTCACGAATTACTGACGGATTCTGTAATTTGTTTTTCTTATTAATATCCAAACACCGCATGCGACACCCCCATATAACACCCGATGTGACACCCCAAAACTTTACGCTCTGGATTTAAACATCCTAATAATTCGACCCATACAGCATGTACAAATCTTGCTCCATGAGTGCTTCGCAGCCTAGCTGTAGCTTGAGTCAAAATTCAATTTATTTACAACGAAAAAACTAGCATTTTTTTTTTTTGCCTTCAACAAGAAGCAGATCTAGAGGGAACCAAATCCGTCAATAAATGCATCGAGCTGGTGACCACATTAGCCTCAAATGTAGGTAAAAAGATCTATGAAGTCGACCAATCCTGCTCCAGCCTATAGGAAAATGACATACGGCCAGAGTACCCTCAATTTGTTTTTAACGCCGAAACAAGCTACATTAATGTATAGGCGCATGAAACATGTAACATGGGTTTGGTGCTGACTTCCCCGTTTGTATTGAACTATTGATCAAACATTCAAACCCCAGTCCCCAGCAATTGGAGAACAGGGGCTTAGCCAGAAGACATTTCATCATGAGCACAGCACATCTGTATCAACCACTACATTGGCTCTTTGCCGTACTCCATTTAGTTCAGCACCGATGCTTCTTACTTACATCTACTGCCTTACAAAAAGAATGTCCAGCCAAGTAGTTTGAAACATTAAGATTCAATCTAGAGTAGTTTCAGATATACGACATGCATGCATTCATGAAAATTGAGAACTATGAGCCAAACTTCATGATTTTGCTAGTAACGTCTAATGCATCAGCAAAGCAACCGCTGTCGTTTGAAGTCACTCACCAAACAAGGAACCAGATTACCTACCCCAGATAAGCGGGTACCAGACGTGCTCTTAGTATTAGGGCAGGAGGAAGTTCTAGAATAAGATGATGATGAGTGGTGCACTAACAAGAACCAATAACCAATTGTTGCCTAATCAAATGTCAGTAAATTTATGGTAATGATGCTTCATTATGGCCTAATCTAGACTTGCTAAGTTTGGAGTGACCATAATAAGCCCATAACTGTACAAGCGAACACTCAAGTTTCGGGTAGGTGCATTACCAGCACATACCCACGCATATGATGTAGACTGGTATTCAACCAACAATATACAGGTCAAATATTTCAAAGCTGAATACCTATGACAATGCTGTTTGATCAAAGTAAACTTAAGTAATTCCAGAATTCACATCGTGCAACTAAGATTGTCTTGTAGGTGACACAGGTTGCAGGACCTCATGCAGCTGTAGCTGTGAGGTTCTTATCACCAGAGGTACGAGGGACAGATGGAACCGAGGCAACTTGACCCAGTTACAAGCAAAAATAAATATTAGCCCACTAACATCACTGACTTGCTAGGTAAGGAACATGAGGAAATAATGAACTATATGGTACTACCCTACAAGTGCACCAAAAACAACACTTATGTAATGGGGGAGTGGTTGATAAATGTTAACTGCCGGTTTGTTGCCAATTCCAGTAGTATGTCAATCAAAATGTAATAGACAAGAGAACCGCTCAACACAAAGATAAGTCAGCAAGTAAAGATACTCAATCCGTTCTAAAATGTAGGACATTTTAGTTTTATCCTAAGTCAAACTTCTCTAACTTCAACCCAATTTGTAGAAAAATATATTGACATATACAATACCAAATAAATACAACTGTCATGACATATTTCGATGGGCATATTTAATGAAACTAATTTGATGTTGATGCATTTTTCTACAAACTTGGTCAAAGTTAGAGAAGTTTGAATTAAAACAAAACTAAAACAGCCAACATTTTGAAACCGAGAGACTATTTTTCAATCATAAAGTACACCGAAGTGCACAGTAGGTGATGTTTGCGTGTATGGGACTGACTAAAAAAATGTTAACAAACAGTTAGCAACCCTGAATGTAAGTTTATAAAAAGATCAGAATTGCTTTCAGGTCAGCAAATATGCCCTATTTTGCGCCCCCCCTGAAGGTAAGAGTTAAGGCATTTTTCAAGTTTACATGGGAACCAACCAGTATTTTTGGGTATCCAGGTGATGGATTCTACATAAAGCTCATTGATCTAATGAAATGAAGAGGAATATTTGCCATGTGGTTTTCCTCTGCCAGCAATTGAAATAATATGCATGCAGATCTCAGAAACTTTGGATTCAAGATACAATAGATTTATTTTCATAAGTTTGAATATCAATAAAATTAACTTTTCTCCTATATTTACAATAAAACTTGTTGAATATCATAAGATATATTAACTTATAGGCAATAACACCAAGCAGAGTTTTGATATTTTGGGAGTGGGTCCAATGAGACAGTTGGATCTGATATGTTCATGAACATTGCAGCACACAGCCAAAATTCTGAATTTTCTTTTTCTATTCTCCATGCTTTGGTTAGCGTGCTGTGAATTGTGATTACTCATGGCGCTGAATCATAAAATAATATAACATCATTCGCAAAAATATTCTTCGTCAAGACTGAAATTATAACATGCTGTAACAAAATTTTGTAATTATAATTGGTTTGAGAAGACCTTTTTCTTCTGGCGGAACATTTCATAAAGGGAATGACTGAGCTTCTCATGGCTATGTAATTCGATTGATGCCATTTATACAAAATATTTTTATCTCTTTCCCCGAATCAATTTGATAAGTAACAGGAATTTCTATTACCATCATGGTCTAATTTAATCAATGTTGATAAGTCGTATTTTTTACTTAGCATGAATCTTCAGTTGAGAGCTTGACGGTATAATTTCGGATCAGCCGGTGGCGAGCCGTCTGATAATTTAGGCACTAACTGAACCACCCATCACAGAAGGTTCCCCGTCCACTTATCACATAATATTTCTAGGTCCCAATATACCAAATGCCAGATAGCTGCCTGTACTAACTAATGTGAATTTGTTCAATGGTACAGAAAAGTTAAGCATGCATAAATCGGACAGGCAGTTGTAGGACATATTGTGGGCAGCCTGGGTGGTTCATCTTTTTGATATATTAAATTCTTGGCAACAGAACCATCCCTTTCTAGATGGAAAGTATGAGCTCCTATTACAAAAAAAAAGGCATATCCTAAGCTCTTTCATTCAAAATCCACAATGCAAATAGCGGCCTTTATTTGAATAACTAACTGGAGAATAACTACATCTTATATTATCTCTATCCAATATTTATGTTTGCATAGGACAATTTCATGCCCAACATTTTCCACTAAATCAATAAAAATAGTATGTGCGTTAAGAAAAAACAAAGGGCCAAAGTTATTGCTAGCGCCATGATAACAAATGGATTCAGATTAGTGATTATGCACAGCTCAAAATTCAACTCCCATTAGTAGCGGACACAACAGTGATATGACAAGGATTTAGTTTATGTACAATACGGGTCAAGATCCAGATTTCTAAAGTAAACTAGATTACACAAGCATGCGTGAGTTCCTGAAAAAGACCAGAAAAAGGCAACTTAAAGTCACCAAACCTCAGAGCTCACTATGCTGCGTAGAAGTCCTTCAAACACCAGCGAAGAGATCTTTGGCAATGACAAGCAAACCCTATAAATCCTTAGCTCCCACTTCCAGACAATCCTTCAGCAATTCCCCTTCCTCCACTTCCCACATCGACAGAGCAATGTGTGAATCAGAGGCACCACGAGTGAGTAGGTCAGTTACCTCTTCGGAGAAGGCGAGGAGAAGGCCGTTCAGGAGCTGCGTGGCGGCGTCGCGGATGTCGCCGTAGTGGCGGCGCATCCACTGCGCAGCGTCAGTGGCAGAACGTAGGCGCGAGGCCTCCGCAGCAGCGGCGATGAGACGAGAGGCGGCGGCCGCGCAGGAGAGGCCGCATCCGGTGGCCGATGAGAAGGCGTAGTGGCGGAGGTAGTCCCAGCCGAGTCCCCACGCGCCACGGGACGACAGCAGGGAAGCGATTCGCCGGACGCGTGCGGCCGCCGCGGCGTCCCCACGGGCGGCACGTGTGGCGGCGACGCGGGAGAGGAGCGAATGGGAGAGGGAGACGAGGGTGGCTGCCTGGCGCAGCGGGACGCGGAGCGCCGAAGCGAGTGGGATTGGAGTGGAGAAGATTAGGAGGACGAGGACGAAGAGAGGGAGATGGGGTCGCGGTGGTCGCCGGCGGCGACAGGCTCCAGCTAGGGTCATCGGAGGCGGCAGGTGGAGAACTGGAGATGGAATTTCGGGATTTGATTTGATTCTGAAGTCCAACTTAGAAAGGCCTCGTCTGCTCATTCGATGGGTTTTATCGGGCCCAATACTTTTGGGCTCATTTGACAGGCCTTGGAACGGCGTGGATCGGAGCCCAAACCCCACCACCCATCTTTCCCCTGGCAAAGTGCAGATCGCAAAAAAGAGCGTTGGTCAAATTTTCTTTAATTTAACTAGATTTATAGGCTCTTCTAAAAAAACTAGATTTATAGGCAATATTTACAACATTTGTACTCAAAATAGATTTATTTTAAAAATATATTCAGTGATTCATCTAATTATATTAGTTATGTATCATAAATATTAATATTTTCTTATATATATTTGATTAAAGTTAAAATTGTTTGACTTCTCGGAAAATGAGAATGACACTCTTTGTAAGGTGGAGGGAGTAATTTATTACTTCAAATGGAATGGACAATATATAAACATAACTGGGGTAGCACTAGCAGCACACATTCACAGTTCCACACCTTACAAGAGGAATTGAGTATATCTGAAATTGGGTTTGATGTATGCCTCAAAGCTGCATAAAATTACTACTGGTACATGTAGAAAGTGTAAACCACTGCTTTACAAATTACCACTGTACACTTTGCATCGTAAATTCGTGATCATCTTTGTCAAAGAACTGCAGAAAAATGATTACGAAAAACAGATAAGCTCTGCATACGCCATGATACTGCTACATGACGAGAGGTCCAAACGGCAGTTGCGCTTTGTATTTGGAAGCATCTTATCATCACCACTATACATGAAAGCAATGGGCACCCTTGTGTGTGTATTCAAGCCATATACCGTTCGCATGCAGACGACGGTCCAGTTTCGACGCACGGGTCGGTTTCTCGTTTCCATCGTCAAACCATCGCGGAATCTATATGTAATCATCGTGCGTGCTCGATGCAGGACAAAGGGGTGATAGCTACGCGTAGATGTGAAAATGGCTAGTGAAGAAGATGAAGCAGCCCTTCCGCTGGCCGCCGCGGCACATGACGTCGTGGTCCTGCGGATCGGATGGCGCTAGCGGCGTGTGCGACGCAGCCGGTGGTGCTCGTCGGCATCGAAGATGAGGGGATTAATTTCAGAGCCCGACGGGGACTTAGAAGAGGAGACGCGGAGCCGACTCAAGTAGAGCCGTGTGCCTGCGGAGAGCGCCCCAGTGCTACGGAGGAGCCAACCCTCCCGGCTCCCGGGACGTATGATTTTATCCCGGGACACGCGTCAGCCATCGGGGCTAGGGGCGCACGGAAAAAAAATCGGTAGGGATGATCCTCACCAAAACACGGGTGGATGCGCAGCTGACGCGTGGATCACAGGACATCTGATTTATCATGCATATACGGTTAAAATGATACGGTAAGCCCACGTATCAGCCGACCAGTTCACACCACGTCCCGGTAGTAATGGTCCTCACTCAATTTTTTTAGCACGGGCGACAGACCTAGCGTCCACCCAATTTTCTTCCGCTCCCCTGTCCACCTCTGATTGTATATAAAAACAGCTCCCGAGCCGTCAATTTACGCATCGGCACGCGAGGCATTCAGAGGAAGAAGATGAGAGGAGCATCGGCTTTGCCGAGCCTTCTCCTCGTCCTCACCCTCTCTTCCTTCTGCAACGCCTCTGCCTCGACAAAGCAAGACCAGGTCATCTTCAGTGCGCTGCACACTGTGTTTCTTCTTTCCTCTTGATTCCTCTTCCTCCAATTCTTCGATCGGTAATGCTGGCAAAGCCAGACTATAGGTTTTGTCTAGTGCCTGTTCTGCACAGAAAGTGCAGAAGAGCCATGAAGAGTAGACTATATGGGTCGATTATCGGTTTCTCGTTTCCATCGTCAAACCATCGCGGAATCTCCAATCATCGAGCGTGCTCGATGCAGGACAAAGCTAGGGTGATAGCTACGCGTAGATGTGAATGTTGAGATTACAAAGCGTGACAGGCAACTTGCTGGAACTCGAGAGTCGAGGATGGAGGCGTCCTATGCCTACGTTGTTGATTTGCCTTGTGACCCAAGTTACCTTTCGAACAGGGCATTCCGTTGTCAAACGAACAACATGATCCATGCTAATGCATGGGGAGATTTGCCTCAGAAACCTTTGCCTGAAAGAGGAGCGAGTTCTGAACATTTACATGACCTGAACTACTACGACGACACGACACAGTATATATGTGCAAGATTCCCAAGTTCGCTGCAACTTGAATCTGCAAGCAAAGATTCTCCTTATCTCGAGGAAAAGATTCGTGTAGTTCCAAGTGCAGAGGGGGAAGTGAGGGACAACTGGTAAGCTACGGAAAAAAAATCTAGCGAAGTTATTATAATGGATAAAAAAAAGATATGCTGATGTCCATTATCTTAAAGGCGCCCGCAGACATTCAGACTCGCGGCAGCCCATGTCCGCGTCTCTGCTCCCCTATCCATCGCCTCCAAGGCCTGGCCGCACCTCTGATTGTATGGTATATAAACAGCTCCCGAGCTGCCAATTGACGCATCGGCACGCGAGGCATTCAGAGGGAGAAGATGAGAGGAGCATCGGCTTTACAAAGCAGGACCAGGTCATCTTCATTCAGTGCACCCTCTGTTTGTTCTTCCCTGCTGACTCCTCCAAATCTTCGATCGATTATGCTGGCAAAGCCAGACTGTAGGTTTTGTCTAGTGCCTGTTCTGCACAGCAAGTGGAGAAGAGCCATGAGAGTATATATATGGATGGATTATGCTTGTAAAACTTCGTCTATGGCCATTATGAACAGGTCTACATAGTGTACCTGGGCGAGCACGCCGGAGAGAAGGTGGAGGAAGCAATCCTGGAGGATCATCACACGCTGCTACTCTCCGTCAAGAGCAGGTAACAAGCTACCGTGCAGCCAGCAGCAACGACAACGACATGGCAAATGGCATGCACTACTTCTGTTCTCTCCGTTGTAGTCATCGTGATGCTCGCAGATGTAGTCAAACGGCCTGTTTGCTGGTTGGTTTCTGAGCTAATAAGTCCGACTGGTGCTGGTTTGTTGTGAGAGGAAAACACTGTTGACTGGGCTGATAAGCCCTGGCTGAAACCAACAAACGAACAGGCTCAAATATGAACTTGCTAGATAGGCCATATATATAACCAATCACACTCACCCATGCTCTATGGGATGCTTCAACCAGTGAGGAAGAGGCACGGGCGTCGCTGCTGTACAGCTACAAGCACACCCTCAATGGCTTCGCGACGTTCCTCTCCAAGGAAGAGGCCACGAAACTATGGGGTACGTACGTGTACAGAAAACAGTGTCAATGAGCAGATTTTGCAAGCTTGTGTTTGGCTAGAACAGTTGTTGATTTGTAAGCGCTTGTGTTTGGCTGATCCGTGACTTTTGCGCACACTGACGCCCTGCAGAGAGGAGCGAGGTGGTGTCTGCCTTCCGGAGCGAGGGGAGGTGGGCGCCGCATACCACGAGGTCTTGGCAGTTTCTGGGCTTTGAGGAAGGACTCATCAATCCTCCCGACGGCAGGGAATGGCTGCCGTCCCTCGACAAATCCAGCGAGGACATCATCGTCGGCATCCTCGACTCCGGTGAGAGCGCCCTCCATCCATCCACGCAGCGCGTTCGTCGTTTCAATCATGTCTTGATTTGCTTGCTTGCTTGCACCGGCAGGGATTTGGCCGGAGTCGAGGAGCTTCAGCGACCAAGGGCTCGGGCCGGTGCCGGCGCGGTGGAAAGGGACGTGATGGTTGGTCCATCCAATCCAAATGATCGTGGCAGTGTCACCACTGCTTTCTGAGTGTAACTGAGATTCGAGTCAACGCTGTACCCACCACGATCTCACTCTCGCGTTTTCTGCTATAGTATATCCATCTGACAAAAAAGTTTTGACTGGAGTCAATTGGAGCACGCAGGAAGATCATAAGGGCGCGATACTACGTCAAGGCCTACGAGGCGCACTACAAGGGCCTCAACACTAAGGATGAAAACGGTCGAACTCGGTCGAAAAACTCCTCAACCGTTTTCTACTTTTACATTTGAAATACGAAAGCGAAAACGAAAGCGGACAAGCCGGACACAAAAACGAACACGAACTTACGGAATATCTAGAATTTCGGAAACGAACCAATTCGAGCGGAATTATGTCGAACACGGTCGGTATGCGAAAATTCAATACGAAATACCGACCCACAGTGCATAGCATTAAACAAGTGCACGACCAAATACATAAGTTCACAACTAACAAGTGCATGATCTAGTTCAAGTGCATAGCATTAAACAAGTGCACGCACCAAATACATAATAAGAGAGATGAGGTTGACGTCGTTTATATAGAGAGGCAGCTAGCCACCAAGAGAGAAAACGCGAATCTGCGTGGTGAGCGTCCTGTAATTGGGTTGTATGACTGTGTAATTGGCCAAATTCGGTTTAAACCAAATTTTGAATTCGGAATATTTCAAATTAAAAGTAGAAAAGTAGAAAACGGTCGAAAAATGTGTAAACCGTTTTCTACTTTTACATTTGAAATACGAAACATCTCAAATGCGAAAGCGAAAACGGTAAAGTCGGACCAGAAAATACGGATTCGATCGGATTAAATATAGAAAACGATGCGGTTCGGTTCGGGATATTTCTGTTCCGTTTTGATCCTTACTCAACACCACGTACGCCTTCCGGTCGCCGCGCGACCACGACGGGAACGGCACCCACACGGCGTCCACCGTGGCCGGGCGCACCGTGCCCCGCGTGTCCGCGCTGGGCGGGTTCGCGAACGGGACGGCCTCGGGCGGGGCGGGGCGCCTTTGGCGCACCTGGCCGTCTACAAGATGTGCTGGCCCATCCCGGGGCCCAACCCCAACATCGAGAACACCTGCTTCGAGGCCGACATGCTGGCCGCCGTGGACGACGCGGTCGGCGACAGCGTCGACGTCATGAGCGTCTCCGTCGGATCCTCGGGGGCCCGCTGCGGTTCGCGGACGACGGGATTGCCCTCGGGGCGCTGCACGCCGCCAAGCGCGGCGTGGTGGTCTCGTGCTGCGGCGGAAACTCCGGGCCCAAGCCGGCCACCGTGTCCAACCTCGCGCTGTGGATGCTCACGGTGGCCGCCAGCAGCATCGACCGCGCCTTCCACTCCCCGATCAAGCTTGGCAATGGTGCGATGGTCATGGTAAGCACTGCGGACGAATTGGCATGCATCAATTGCAATTGGAGAGACATGTGACTTAATTTGTTTTTAATTCTCTCTCTCGAGTCAGGGTCAAACTGTAACACCATACCAGCTGCCCGGCGACAAGCCCTATTCCTTTGGTTTATGCAGCAGACGCAGTTGTTCCTGGGACTCCCGCTAATGTTTCCAAGTAAGCAATCAACCGCACTAACCTCTCTTATAGTAACGATGACGAATGGTGCTAAGTGCTAGCATGATTCCACCACGACGCAGCCAGTGCCTGCCGAACTCCCTGTCCAGCGACAAGGTGCGAGGCAAGATCGTCGTTTGCTTTAGGGGCACTGGGCTGCGGGTGGAAAAGGGCCTGGAGGTGAAGCGCGCGGGCGGCGCGGCCATTCTGCTCGGCAACCCAGCGGCCTCCGGCTCCGAGGTCCCCGTCGACGCGCACGTCCTCCGGGGTACCGCGGTCGCCGCGGCCGATGCCAACACCATCCTCAGCTACATCAACTCCAGCTCCAGCCCGACTGCCGTGCTGGACCCCTCGAGGACCGTCGTGGACGTCCGGCCGTCGCCGGTGATGGCGCAGTTCTCGTCGCGTGGGCCCAACGTCCTGGAGCCCAGCATTCTCAAGGTACGTAACGTGCAACGTCTTAGATACAGTAATAACTGGCGTATACAAATATGACATGCCAAACTTTGCCCCAGAGAAGAAGTAAGTGCCGCTAATTTTGCAGCCGGACATTACGGCGCCGGGGCTGAACATCCTGGCGGCGTGGAGCGAGGCGTCGTCACCGACGAAACTCGACGGCGACCACCGCGTGGTGCAGTACAACCTCATGTCGGGGACGTCCATGACGTGCCCGCACGTCTCCGCCGCCGCCGTCCTCATCAAGGCCGCGCACCCCGACTGGAGCTCCGCCGCAATCCGATCCGCCATCATGACCACCGGTAAACAAACGCCTCAGGCCATCAAAGGCAGCCGCCCTGCCGCATCTCTCCGATCGAGGTTTCTGAACAGAACACTTAACCGAGCTCGTGCTGTGTATGTGTTCCATCATTCCAGCCACGACCAACAACGCGGAAGGCGGCCCACTAATGAACGGGGACGGCTCGGTTGCGGGGCCCATGGACTACGGCTCGGGCCACATCCGGCCCAAGCACGCGCTGGACCCGGGCCTCGTGTACGACGCGTCGTACCAGGACTACCTGCTCTTCGCGTGCGCCAGCGCCGGCTCCCAGCTCGACCGCTCGGTGCCGTGCCCGGCGCGCCCGCCGCCGCCCTACCAGCTGAACCACCCCTCCGTGGCCGTGCACGGCCTCAACGGCTCGGTGACCGTGCACCGGACGGTCACCAACGTCGGCCCCGGCAAGGCTCGGTACACCGTCGCCGTGGTCGAGACCGCGGGCGTCTCCGTGAAGGTCTCGCCGAGACGGCTCAGCTTTGCGCGGACCGGCGAGAAGAAGGCGTTCAGGATAAAGGTGGAGGCGAAGGGGAGCAGCATAGTGAGAGGGCAGTTCGTGGCGGGTTCGTATGCGTGGAGCGACGGCGCCCATGTCGTGAGGAGCCCCGTTGTTGTTCTTGTCGCGTGATCATCATTTGGTAGCTAGTGGCTCGCGTGGACAGAAAATTGGAGGGTAGCTTTAGCCATGCCCATACCTTGTTCCAAGAAGTGGAAGGCATGCAATGTAACCTTCGGCTATGTTGTGGAAGAATAATCACACCAAGATTTCAATCAAGGAGAAAAAGGAACAAAGATAAACTAGCTTCCCAGGCTTGTGTGATATTCAGTTGTCATATGTGCCTGAATTCCTGATTGAACTGGACAGAAGCCCTATTTTACTTGGAACGTGTAGCACTGTCTCTGAAAATTATCACGAATTTCTGGCGCATCTTGTGACGTTATAAACCACTATTTAGCTTGATGATGTTATGATAATCTCCGACTGCTTCGTATCCTTATCCAAGCGCCGTACCATCTCCAGTCTTGAGAAGTGCCTGTGGCGTGCAGAGCTGGCTGGCTGTGCGTGCGTGCATGCTCAACTCAATGCTCCAATGCGCGATCTCGGCCTGTCCCTTGTCCAAACCGCTCGGCGTTACAGGTGTATGACCCGCATCCGTGGCGCATGCCAACACGGCACTTTTTGTGCGTTGATTGAAACGCTCCCACACCACTATATATATATATACTACGTCCCCCAGAAAACATCATCCGCTGAGAGCTTCCAACTATTATGCACCCAAAAAAGTGCACATAAAAATTCATCTCCATTAAAATCAAGGACTAATAAAACACCTAAATCAAATCCGATGACTATATATATATATATATATATATATATATAAAGCTACTGGCACGGTAGAGTCCGGCCATCCCGTTCGCTTCAACTTATCAGTCCAGCTTATCAGTCATAATACAGTATTTTTCTCTCACAACAAAACAGTATCAATCGGTTTATCAGCTGCAGAAACCATCAGCCGAACAAGGCATAGAATCGATGGATATTCTGTCCGGTTCGTCTTGCCCTGTTCGCTTGGCTGATAAACCATAGCTGAAAATATTGTTGGTTGATTTACTGTGAGAGAAAAATACTGCTCGTTGACTGAAAAAAATACGGCTTATGAGCGAAGCGAGTCTGTACGGACGACCGGTAGATAAAATTGTCCGTTTTGGAGAAGTAAGCTCTGAAAATTCAGCGGCTGCTAAGTGTAGGAGTACTCTAGTTGTAATTTACTCCGTAGTTCGACAGTGACGGCGCTGCACGCTTGATGCACGATCGCGCTTGCGTCACCGGGCAAATGGTTTCGCAACAGGTTTATCTGAAACTGCAGTAATAACCAGCGTCATCGTCAAAACTGACTGCGTTTTGACCCTACTGCTAGCCGCAAGGGCAACCACTGGTTGTCTAGGGTCTTTTCTGAATTCTGAAGCTGAGTAATCCTGAAAGCGTCATCAGGCTTGTAAAAGGTAACGATGCAACACGAAATGTACAGTAGGCCTGTTCTAATTGATCCTGCATCCGACACGTATTTCTTACGTCCAATAACCATGCATGAACTTTTCCGGTGGATAAGCTAACTTGCGGTGCAGTAGCTTGCAGTTCGGATAGGCCTCTTAGGCTCTTATTACTCAAGTCAAGCAAAAGCAAAGCCTGCCCTGCCCTTCTGTTTATGCTTTTCAGCCTGGGAAACCGACGTGCTCGTCTCCCTTGAGATACCGGCTGATACACGTTAAGCTCGTTACGCACACAGCCAGATGTCACAGGCGCCCGGGCACAACGGCTCCTGTCCTAATCGATACGTTCATTGCAAAAGTTGCGTGTTTGGTATGCTAGGGTTGGCATTCTAGCCGCGCGCGTGCAACCTAGCTAGCTGATCCTAAACAACGGCAACTGCCGATCCGGTTAATTGCTTGGTGAGGTAGAGTTAGCCGCAGACGATTGACATTTTGAACGAATGGGCTAAGTTTGTCCTGATTCAGAATTTTGTCCCTTTTCTCTCAATTTTGTCCGTGCGTGATTCTCTGAATCCAACTTATTCATCAGAGATGATAAAAACCAAATAGACATGTGCGACAAGGCACTGTTAGGTGATGTTCGGTTGCCCTTCCTAAATTTTAGTCGTTGTCTATCAAATATTTAGACACATGTATGGAATATTAAATATAGACTAATTACGAAACTAATTGCATAGTTTACGACTAATTTATGAGACGAATCTTTTAAGCCTAATTAGTCCATGATTTGACAACGTGGTGCTACAGTAAACATGTGCTAATGATGGATTAATTATGCTTAAAAAATCGTCTCGTAGAGTACTGACGGATTATGTAATTTGTTTTTTATTAGTATCCGAACACCCTATGCAATATCCTCCCGACACAACTCCTAAATTTTAATCACCGGATCCAAACACCACACCTTAGTCTCTGCACGACGCGTGCAATGCAAACCCTTATCTTTCTCCGGACGTCAGTGTCATTCGCAAGGCAAGACGTCAGTGTCATTTGCAAACGTGCGTACGCACGCAGGATGCGCACACGTGCGGGAGGAACATCTGCATATTCTCCGTCACGACCAAACCGATCGACCAGGAACAGGAAGCGACCCGATCAGCTTTCTTGACGCCAAGGACAGAACAGAGAACACGAACAGGTGTCAGGGATGACAGCATAGCATATACGATGTCCAAAAGGCAAAAGCACATCGGAAAAGCATCACGACTTGGCACGCGAAGATCGCCAAACTTGCGCCGCCGCGCAACCCAACCTGAGAGTGAGAACTGAACCGCAAGGGAAGGAAAAGGAACACGTTGGAACGCCTCCCTCACGGCACCGGCCGGAACGCCGGACCGCCCGCCCGCGTGCAGGCGCGTCGCAGCCGATCGGTCGACCTCAACCGCCGAATTATTCCTTCCCGTTTCGTACGTCAAGGCCCATCATCGCCGCATCGCATACTTATCTGTCACACAAAGCGGCGCAGCGCCACACGGAACCTGGCTACCGACCCGGGTCGCTACCTATAGGTGGACGGACGGGCACCTAGCCTGCCAGCAAGCAAGCAAGCAGGCCTAGGTGGCCGCCGGGCGCCGCGCCCTATATATCTCGCCCCACGCCGAGCGGCAGACGGAGAGAGGTTTGGGCAAAAACCATTAGAGTGCCATCACATTTCCTTCAGCACTACTCTGATTGCAAGCTGAGTCGTCGCGGTTGATCGATCTGATCATTGAGAAAACATGTCGCAGAACGCGGCGGCGTGGGCGCAGCAGGCCGAGCGGGAGCGCCGGGCGCCGTTCACGGACCCCATCGAGATCCCGGCCACCTCGGGGCCGCGGCGGGAGACGAACAACCGGGAGGATCAGGGAGACGACGGCGAGGCGGCGGCGCCCCCGCACGTGCTGCTGGCACGGCGCAGGGCGGCGTCCTCGGTGTGCTCCGGGCAGGGCCGCACGCTCAAGGGCCGGGACCTGCGCCGCGTGCGCGACTCCGTCCTGCGGATGACCGGCTTCATCGAGAGCTAGCCAATAGCCTCAGCCAGCGGCCGGCACGCGTCCGTCGGTCCTGGCTGTGACTGTCCACCTCGCTGGTTAGCTTAGCATTAATAATGCAGCGACCAGCAAGCAAGCTTCCGTCCATCCCCCGATCCAAACGGTCGAATATGTCACACTGTTTGAGTCAGTCCCCGATTGGTTGATTTCCTTTTGTGAGATTGAGGTTGGAAAGAATTGATGGCAAGGCATTTTGTATTCCTTTGTAAATTCATAAGAAATGTGAGGTGGATTTCATTGAGTCGTCATATGTGTGTGTGCAGTGTCCATGCGCATGCATCAGTGCATTCGCCCATGCATCTGGTTCAAACAAGCTAGAATTGGATTTACGCGTTGCTGCTGATTCAGCGGTCCTGACTCCTGACCATGCATCTATTTGGTTCTTGACTCGCTCAAATAACAGTACATATAGACCGCAACAGATGCAGCAACTTGCTGGCAATCGCCAACCGATATGATGATTATTATATATATAGTCGACACAGGGAAAATGACTGGATCGATTAGATAGTTCAAGACATACATGAATACCTCCACTAGCTAGTACTAATACGTTCTTATCGACTTATCCTCTCCTAAAAACATCCCGAGCAAGTCAAGGTCAAGCAGCAAGAAGATGCTGCACGCCGAGCTGCAGGAGGAGGAAGAGTTTCAAGAAGCGGACATCCTATGGCCAGACGCAGCAGATTTCAAGGACTCACCCCGGTTGTATTTCTCTCAAATCGGCATCGACGACGACGGCGACAGCAGCAGCAGCGAGCACCAGGCTCCGTTGAAGCTGCAAGTCCGACAGAAAGCTTCTTCCCCCATTGACATCCCCAGCCGGAAGAAGGTCGTCGACGGTGCCACTGCTGCGAGAGGCACCGATCGAGCACCGGCCGGATCGAGTAAGTTTAGCGCGAGCCACGCCGGCGGCGTCGGTGCCGGTAGCGCCGTCATCGGCAGCCATGTCTTCATACCGCCGCATGTCATCGTCGATCGCAGGGACAAGCGGGACAAAGCGATGATGATGCTCATCGTGCCCAGCGGGAGGGCCAGGGCGAGGAAGATGCGCGAGTAGTTCTACGAAATTTGTGGGAAATGCTCGATCTCCCGTTTCAATTCACTCGGAGAACGAAGCAGTGTTGAGTTCGTAGGTTTTTGCAGGTGTGTGAATTAACGTGACAGAAAGTGAAAGAAAGACGAGCTAGCTCTCCTTTTTTTTTTGTGGAAGATCCGAGCTAGATCTTGGAATAATCAGCTTGTTCGTTTGCTCGTATACGATCGTGAATTATAAGCTGGAACAGTATTTTTCTCTTACACCAAACTAGTTAGTAGTAAATAATCCATGATCGTTTAGGCTGAATATGCATGTATGCATGAATAGAATGGCCACGTTTATTCTGTTCTAAAGGCTGTCGTGTAGTAGGAACGGACGCTGGATGCCAGTGCGTGATACGGCGATAGTAAAATGCAGTGGAATGCAGAGTTAGGTTCAGTTGTTCAGCATTACTTTTCAGCGAATAAATATTATTTTTCTCTCACAACAAATCAGTATAAGTATCAGCATAAACTAAATTTTAGCTAAACGAACAGGGCCAATGTTTGTGAAGAAACAAGGAGATGGCGAATATCTTTCCACCCGGTTCAACTTTAAAGACGTTTATATTAGAGCATCATTGTTTCACGCGAATGGAAAGAGATATCTCTAAAAAGTATAGGGTAGTAATTTGTCCTTGAAGAAGGAACCTATATATCTTCAGAAAGAATCGAAATTTTCAAGTTATAAACCTTCTGATGATAACATTTACACCTATGAGGTGACTCACACCTCAACATAACTATCCCGTACATATATATATATAACATTATCTTCTTCTCCCAAGTTGATACGCAGAAATTTACCTCTGCAAGTAACCCTTGTCCAGGTGTACACTAGCACAGATGTCTACACGAAACTGTTGGAACTGGGGATCCTCCCAATTGGCTGGTCCCGCCGCCCTATAAGGACGTGAGCACGCTGATTTGGGTTCCTTGCCCACAATGGCAAAAATGTGAAACTACATCTTAAGATTCCGTTCTGCGCCACGCCTCCACCTGTTCATTCTCCCAGCCTCATGTTTGATGTTGCTAATCATTGACTTACCAGAAGCGTCCATTGACTTACCAGGCTGAATACTAATCATTGTTTCGTCTGCTAGCTAGAAAACGCAACAACCAACGGGCTTACGTTGCACGTCGACAGATAGGACACATCAGAGTAGCAGCCGCATGGCCTTTGTACAATCGAGATGTGGATATGTCCTTTGTTTTTTCTAGCTACGTGGTTTCAGCCATTTGTATTTCTTTATTAGTTCTGGGCACTGGGCAACCGAAGAAACTGACACGGTCATGTTCTATGCTGAAATTTCTTTGTATTTCTTTGTTTTTTCTACACTACTGGAGGCGCATGCTTTGCTGAGGGCCTCTAGCTCCCGGCAAAGGCCCAGAAACCCTCGATAAAGGCTTTGCCGAGGGCAGCCCTCGGCAAAGACTCCTCGGGGAATTTTTAGACGGCGAAGGGATCTTTGCCGAGGACCCTTTATCGGAAATTTGTGGGAAATGCTCGATCTCCCGTTTCAATTCACACGGAGAACGAAGCAGTGTTGAGTTCGTAGGTTTTTGCAGGTGTGTGAATTAACGTGACAGAAAGTGAAAGAAAGACGAGCTAGCTCTCCTTTTTTTTTTGTGGAAGATCCGAGCTAGATCTTGGAATAATATGCATGTATGCATGAATAGAATGGCCACGTTTATCCTGTTCTAAATGTTGTCGTGTAGTAGGAACGGACGCTGGATGCCAGTGCATGATACGGCGATAGTAAAATGCAGTGGAATGCAGAGTTAGGTTTAGTTGTTCAGCATTACTTTTGAGCGAATAAATATTTTTTTTATAATAAATCAACATAAGCATCAGCATAAATCAAATTTTAGCTAAACGAACAGAGCCAATGTTTGTGAAGAAACAAGGAGATGGCGAATATCTTTCCACCCGGTTCAACTTTAAAGACGTTTATACTAGAGCATCATTGTTTCACGCGAGTGGAAAGAGATATCTCTAAAAGTATAGGGTAGTAATTTATCCTTGAAGAAGGAACATATATCTCCTACAACTAGAAAGAACAAAGTATGGATATTTTTTTGTACGACATATGTTTTGGTTCGTCCGTCTGCCCCCGCTTGCGATCCCACGACATCTTCCGCGTGCTGCTTGATTGAATATTGCCTGTCATGTGATAGAGGAATCACGGCAAAATAGGAAGTAGAAAATTATTGTGCTATTCATATACACATTGCATATTTGCATGCACCAGCATACATGGCAACGAGCAAAAGGAAAGAGAATTAACACAGAAGGAAAAAGAATTAAGACAAAAGGAACCTCTTTGCATTTCTGAGAACCTCGATAAATCTGCATATATTTAATTACTTCTCCTCTTTGTATTTGTAAAAGGGACAGCTTTTTCCTCCTTTCATTTGGTTTCACGCTCACGTGTTCCATCGCCCTCGCTTGCTGTTTCTTGCTGAAATTGTCCTTGGGTCTGTTCATTTTGAATCCTTTCCCCATATCTCCGTTCCCCAATCCATGGTCCATCGCGACAGTAGACATCAGACACCATTTCTTGCGTGAACCATAGTTGATGTCATCTGTCTTCCATGGATCAGCCTTCCAATCCTAAGAGAAGGTCCCTACCTCTCTCTGACTGGAGATCCGGCCTGTCAGAGGATCTCCTCGAGTCCATCGGGCAGCGTCTCGCGTCAGGCCACGACGCGGCGTCCTTCCGATCCACTTGCTTCCCATGGCGCGCCGCCCCCGCTCGCGACCTTCGGGTCGCTCCTGCTGCTCCCGTTCGACCCCGACTCGGACCGCGTCGGCTTCTACTGCGTCCCGGAGAAGAAGGTCTTGTCCAAGACGCTGCCCGACGTGCGCGGCAAAGTGGCGTGCGGCTTCTCGTGTGGGTGGCTGGCGCTCATGGACGAGGCGGCATCCGTGACGCTGCTGAATCCATTCGCCGGTGCCCATGCCCCCCGCGTTGAGCTCCCGCCAGCAGGCGAACACGTCGCGGCGGCGTCCTCATCGGAACGCGTGTCTAGGGTCCACGGCCGGTGGGTCCTCCATCCCACCAACGGCTACGGGGACGTGGATGCCGCAGGCAGAGCCATCAAGCTAGAAGACATGAGGGACGTGTTCTTCCGTGAGATCGTGCTCTCGGCGCCGCCTGAAGCCGCCGGCCGTGAGTGCGTGGCCATGGCCATGCCTGGGTGCTCCACAGAGGTCGCGTTCTGCCGGGTTGGAGTCGACAACGCATGGATGCTGCTCGACATCAAACTGGAGTTCTCCGTGGGGTCCATCGTCCACTGCCAAGACAAGTTCTTGGTGATCGACTGCACTGGAGAAATCTATGTCTGCAGCAGCAACGCCGCCGCGCGCTATTCCAACTGCGACGCTGTTGCCATTGCTGTCGCCACCTACAGGGCTTTGCCACCGCAGCTACCTGGAATCAAACGGTGAGCTACACATTTATGGGTGCCATGGTGAGCACGTTCCACGAGACACAGAGCTTCACCTACAACAGCGCGATCTACAAGTGCAACCTTCACGACCGTACGCCGGAGTGGTCTAGGGTGAGGGACATCGGTGATCAGACATTGTTCGTGTATAAATATTTCAATAAAAGTTTCAGTGGAACATGTGTATCCAAGTACAAGAAGAACAAAATATATATGTCTGAGCCATTGTATGGGGATCCATACGACTTGGTCCATCGATTGGAGATCGTTGATATTGCTACCGACGCATCCGAAGTGAAGCCCGTCCAGAAAAAGATACAGGGTTCCGAGGCTCTAAGTTGGATTCGACCCAATCTCTGGAAGGATCATTACAAGACATCAATCACCTCATAGCTTCGGACAATATCGCAAAGCTACTAAAAACTATAACCGTGCCCTCACCTCAAATATTGTCCAGATAAATGGATTACAATGAAAGAAATGTATATCGGAGATTTCTTCCTGCCAATATAAAACATTATCTTAGCCGCATCACGGAAAAGGTCTATAAAGTAGAGTTTGTGAGCCTGCGACGCCGCGCACTCCGTGACTGTGTTAAATTTATAAACTTTACTTTTTAGATTAAATGTCAATTTAACGTTGGTATTTAATTTTTACAGTATTGTTATCTTATCGTGCGATGCGTGTGTTTTTAGTATAAATTGTTAGTTATCTCGTAGCAACGCACGGACACGCTACCTAGTATCTCCAAAAAGAATCAAAATTTTCGAGTTATAAACCTTCTGATGATAACATTTACACCTATGAGGTGACTCACACCTCAACATATATATATATATATATATATATATATATATATATATATATATATATATATATATATATATATATATATATATATATATATATATAACATTATCTTCTTCTCCTAAGCCCTTGTTTAGTTCCTCCCAAACTCTCAACTTTGGCACTATGCAAAAAGAAGATTCTCCGTCACATCAAACTTGCGGTACATGTATGGAATACTAAAAGTAGACGAAATTAAAAACTAATTATACAGTTTGGTTGTACTTTACGAGACGAACATTTTAAGCCTAATTAGTCAACGGTTGGACAATTATTACTAAATACAAATAAAATGCTCCAATAAAAAATCTGGCACTACGCAAACTTTGCGCATCCAAATTCCGGCCAACTAAACGCGCCCCAAGTTGATACGCAGAAATTTACCTCTGCAAGTAACCCTTGTCCAGGTGTACACTAGCACAGGTGTCTACACGAAACTGTTGGGACTGGGGATCCTCCCAGTTGGCTGGTCCCGCCGCCCTATAAGGACGTGAGCACGCTGATTTGGGTTCCTTGCCCACGATGGCAGAAATGTGAAACTACATCTACATGCACACAATTAATAAAAAGTACAGTACTAGTATATCTTAAGATTCCGTTCTGCGCCACGCCTCCACCTGTTCATTCTGCCAGCCTCATGTTTGATGTTGCTAATCATTGACTTACCAGAAGCGTCCATTGACTTAC